CAAAACACCCCCCCCCCCAAAAAAAAAAATGGCGGCAGAGAGAAGATGGCCACCGCGGCGTCATCGCACGTTGTGGAATTCAAGCGTCCGACTCCCACCGCCCGGTGGGCCGGCTGACTACAGAAAGGTCACCTCTGTAAGAGCAGCCCGGCTCTGTCACTCAGGCTGAAAAGGTCAAGCGTGTTCTGGCTGTGTTCTGCCAGCCAGCCCCCAAAAAAGAAGAACTCCAAAAAGGCTGGCAAAAAGGACAGAGAATCTATCCGTCCAGTTTCTTTTTCATAAAGTCAAGACTCTCCTTTCACAAGAGAATTCTGTGCCTTTTTTACATCTCGACTATGATGCGCTTTTTAGAGTCAGACAGTTCTCCATCAAGTGTTTCCAGTTGGTCCAAAATACCGCTGCTCACCTCTTCACTGGAGTGCGTAGGAGGGAGCATACGCCTCCAATTCTTGCCTCCCTTCCCTGGCTCTCTGTATGTTTTTGAGTTCCATTTTATTTGTGGTTGAATAAACTTGAAATACATTTGAAGATCTCAGAAAATAATAAGCCAGACTCGGTCTGATCCTCACCATTCTATTGATCCTCACAAAGTCTTCGGGGGTCTTGGCCCAGGGCGGCAAGTCCACGTCGCCCACCATGACGCGGTCCTCGCGCATTCCCAGATGGTAGCCGTTGGCATTGACCAGCATCTCCGGCAGGTAGAAGAACTCCGGGATCAGCTCCTGAGGGTCGGACCGGCGCACATCTTGTCGCGTGAACTCAAGCGTGATTTTGCGGGCGTATTTTTGGATTGTATTTATTTGTTTAGTTGATATTTTTGAAGTTAATTATTAAGAAAGCATTTTCACTGGAGCATGTTTTCCATGTGCAGTGTTAACGTTTGAACCGCACATCATGTAACACAATCGAAAACATAAACTGCCGCAGAGGAATGAGAGGAAGGCGAACGGTAACAAAAACACAGCAAACAGCGCGGCGTGAGAAGTGAGGGGTGGTGTGAGTGTTTTTTTTTTCTTTCTTTTCACACTTATTACGACACACCGAAGTGCTAGCGTGTAAAATTGAAGTGCAAGTGAGTCATTGTTGTCGGATGTGACAGCGGAGGAAGCAGGCAACAGCTGCTGGAATTCACTCACGATTGATTGACAAGCTTAGAAAATGAGCTACCGGCCCTTTAAGCAAAGGTGCGACCGGTATTTCCCGTCCACGGTTGAGCGCAGCCGTGAGACGGCCAGCCAAACGCCGACGCAATGAAGCGTCTGCACACCGGGAATGTTCACGTTCCGCGCTTGCGCCTGACAAAAGTCTCGGCACAGCGAACGGCTACGAGAAGAAGGAGCTCACTTTCAAGGCGTCATCCTTCTTGGAAACCCGATCTTAGGCTCGAAACCTTCATCTGAAAGCTTGTTTCCAAAGATTCGTTTTCAACCGTAACCTGGGTTTGAAACCCGGATTTGAAATCTTAAACCTTGTTTCCAAACGCTTGAAACCCTAACTCTGCTCTGATAGCTTAAATTTGAACCCCTCGCCCAGTTTGAAAGCCAAGCTCGGCCTTGAAACCCTCGAGCTGAAAATGCTAACCTGAAACATCAGCCCTAACTTGAAACCCTAACCTTGTTTACAAAGTCATTTCCAGGGAGTCCGTTTCTCTCGGCCACGACCTGTGCGTGTGCGGACAGATTGCGCATTCACGACCGGGGTCGTTGAGGTGTTGTTTCCATCTGACTTGGGAGGTCACCCAGATCACCTGACCGTGGCACGGACAAGGCGGCCCCGCCCTCGTGGTTGTTATTACTCTGCAGGTTAATGAAGGGGAGACCCCGGGAGAAACAACAGGGTTTTTTTTTTTCCAATCAGGCAGCTCAACGGCCACCTCTGTCCGCTGGGCCTCGGATGACCTTCCGTCCGCCGCCTGACTCTCGGCTCAAGACTTGACGGCTGTCAGGTCGCTTCATTAAGAACAGAGGCCATCCAAGATTGACATCTAAATTGACAACAACAACAAAAATAAAACTGACTTTTGAAAAGTGTCATTTTTCTTCTTCCCTCGGAAGCCATTTTGGTTCGGCTTCTTTTAGCTGCGCAAGCCCAACAAGTGATCGGTGGCTGGTATCGGCAGCAGTACCTCGCGACCTTAACATAAGGTTGGCATCGGCCGGACACCGAAAGCTGTATCGATGCCGATTCTGATTTTGCCAGATGGCAATTTGCCACAGTGCATCTGAAATCCATTTTCCAATGACCGCCGCTCAAAACTGAATGATTCATATCTTTGCAAATGCAGCATTGTGTCTGGCACGAGATGGCGACGGAAGCTCGAGTCAATCCTGAACGGATATTCGACGGCAACAAGGTGGCACGCGCAGTGCGCTATTTGTTAACAGGGTGCCGCGTGACTGCCGGGCTGGCAGCGAGCGAGGACGACCGCTGTCCCGACACGGAGAAGTAGTGCATTTGAAACGGCGCTTGTCATTAATGCTTTATTAATTGCCGCCGGCTAGCGCGCCCGCTACCAGGCTGCGCTGGAAATGGATGACACTTTGAGGTCAGCGCCTATTCCCGTTGCGTGCGTGAGTGCGTGCGGGCGGGCGCTCGGGCAAAATGGAGGCGAACCAGGAGGCTGCAGCGCTTTCGCTTTCTGCTCTTCTTTCGCTTTCTTCCACGGGGGGCTTTGGCTTTTTGCACGAGCGCCTGAGATATTATAAATGTGGGTTTTTTTCGGCGTCGAGGGGATTCCTGGGTGAAGGTTTCTCTGGTTGAGCACGGCATTCATAATTAATAGAATGTGTTAGCGCGCTGCTCTCGTGTGGAGCCGGATATGCGTCCGCCGGCCCAAATATTAGGTACACCGGCAACATCTCACCGAGGTGCCACTTCCCGTGCAGGGCGGCCACGTTTGTTCGTTTTTTTTTTTTGTTTTTTTTAAAGAGGACTCACCTTGACGTCGGAGGGATCCCGCTGACAGTTCCTCCACGAGCGAGCGATGGAGGAAAAGATGCGGTCCGGGTGGTCAAATGTGTCATTGTTGGCGCTGAGAAACAAGCTGGTGAACGGCTCCTGCGGAAGCCCCACACACACACACACACACACACACACACACACACACACACACACACAAAAGAACCGTCATGAGCAGTTTTTTTTTTGTTTTGGGTCTATATTTGTCTGATGCATACATCAAGCACTCCTCATTTGAAATCCTAATTCGTGTTTGTCATGGTCCAGTTTGCTTCAAACTTTAATTGAAAACCCTTTGCCTAATTTGAAATTCTGATGTTTTTTTTTTTGAAAGCCTTCACGAGGCTCCAAACTCAAATTGTGAAGCCCTAAACAAATTTGCAACCTTCTCCCTTCTGTTTCAGACCTCAGCATATAAGATCAGTTCCTACCCGAGGGGGAAATTAACAAGCTTTCTGGCCGAGCACAACGAGCGTGAATGATAATTCGCTCAAATGAGTTTGTTTTCTTTTGCGGCATGGCGTCGGCGGGCATCAGGAAGCAAGGGATTGTGGGAGCAAACCCGCAGAGGCCAATCTAGGTGCTGTCAAGGGAAGCTCCTCAGTTCATCAGCAGCCCCTTCCTACTAATGATGGGGGGAGGGGGGTCAGCTCTCGGAGTTCCACAAACAACTTGTGCCTCCTCCTCCTCCTCGTCTTCCTCCAGTAAACGAGGACCAGAGTAAGTGTGACGGACACGTCTGCAAGCCTGAAACGCATAAACCTGTCACCCCCCACCAGCCCCCCGACTTCCTCCCACCTTCAGCAAATCATTACCCAGCCACTCTTTATTTAGCACACATATGCCGCTTTACTGGCCTGTGAAATGTGTTTTTTTTTTTTTTTGGGAGTTGGGAGCGGCGCCCGCCAATGGAGATGTAACAGTGTCATCAGGCCTGACAGGTGATGATGCGCTAATGCTAACTGCAGAACGGGGAGAGAGCCTGTTGAGAGGGGGATGGACGGGTTTCTTTTTTTTTGGGGGGAGGGGCATCACTCACCATTTGAATTGGGAAACATTTTATGACAATTAATTCACGGCACTTGATGGGAATTCAAAGGGATCAACCAGGAAATTACAAAATCAAACATGGAACTCCAAAATAGTTTGGGATGGATGGATAGAGAGATCGAGAGAGAGAAATGACAAGAGATAGACAGACAGAAGTGAGAATATGCCAGTATAAGCCTCCCAGAATGTCATTTTTAATGGAGTAATTTGTCATGGAAAGTTGCCGACTCCAAATTCTATTGGTGAGTGACGCCCACCACCCCACGCGACCCTCCCCCGGAAAAAACATCC